TAGACTAACCAAAAATGTATTAAAAGGTGTGCCTGTATGTCAGAGTTTCATTTTTGTATAACTATCCAATTAATCCAGTCACAAACCCTATAAGTACTAGTTTGACTTATCAGTAACATTAAATGTCTGCTGTCCCAGCTGTCAGGTTTTCTGCAGAAACAGAACAAATTGTAGAATTATGCTTAAAATGTGTTCTCATCTTTCTACTTTTCCATAAGATTCATTTTCTCATTCCCTATTTTCTTTCAATATTGCTGTACTTTCTAGGTTGACTGTTCAATCATCAGCTCCAAAAGATCTCTTTACTTTGGAAAAGATTACCACTTCTGTCTAATGAATACAAACTCCAATCCCTCTTTTCCTTTGCGTTTCCCTTTAGTCTTTTCCTTTTTTCCTCCTCTGTGCTTATTTGGTAACAGAAGACTGTCAAGTAATCATCAAGCAGTCCTTAAAGGAATCTGCTCCCGGATATGAAACCAGTCTCATTAAGATACTCCCTCCACATTGCAGAGCTCCAAGACCTTCCCCTAAGGAGTGTAGCAGAATTATACTGTACCACAGTCAGTCTCCATTTGCAAATTATTCAAAGCTGGTTATGATGATCTTGCATCTAACAGGAAGTTTGCCCCCTCCTTTTTTCATTTCTTAGTCTACAACTATTCAGACACAATTGCCACAACTGACAAAGCCAAATTTATCAAGAGGATATTAATACTATTGTATTAGACCTAACATTTCCTGAAACACTCTGAGTAAGCACCAATCATGGATCTTACAGACTCAATGGTGCCTAAAATAAACTCTTGTGTTAATTGATGGGACAACAGCTGGAATTGTTCTTGCTCAGATGTTATGGCAGTAACCAAGGGGGCGAGTAATTTATTTATTTTTAATAATTTAAGACGAGCAACATTCAGATGTAAGCTACATAAAAAGGTAACTGTGTTCAATAAGGATGTTTTATGTGTTTTAACAAACGTGATGTTTTTAAAATATTTAATGTAAGCCACTGCAATTCCAGAACACAACTGTTCTGGGCTTTGCTGGTTGCCCCTCCCTCCCTTTCTGCCACATGTGTCAAGCTGTTCTTAAGCCTCCCTCAGAGGCATTGGGTGTTGGCTGCAATCAAAGTTGGCAACTTCAGCTGGGGTGTATCAATACTCCTGCTGGAACCAAAGCCACGAGGGTCAGACAAATTGCAATATTTGGGGTTGGGAAGGAATTTTATATCATGGTCAGAATAGTACAGACTATGGG